GGACTACCTCAGACCTATAGAGGGTGGGGAACCCCGATGGGCCAGCGTTTATTCGACCTTAATTCCGCGGCCCGTCGGGGACATCAGTTGGCGGCTCCTCCACGGAGCCGTGAGCACGGGCGTGTACTTGGCGCGGTTCACCCCTATCCCAGACCTGAGATTGGTTGTGAGGCTGCACCCAACCCTGACATAGCACACAGGCTGGGCCTGCCCCAGAGGTCCATGTCTGGGAGGGGGTGAGAGGGGTAGCAGAATGAGCTCCCACTTCTGTGCTGTCGCCTGTGCTCCCCCTTCCATGCTGGAGCCTCCACATTTATGTATAACAAATAAATAAATAAGGGTATGTCTACACTAGCCCCCTAGATCGATCTAGGGAGGCTAATGAGGGCGACCAAAATTACAAATCAAATTTAAATATCCTGCGCTTGATTTGCATGTTCCTGGCCAGTCGCCATTTTAGAAATTCACTAACCCGAAGTAACTGCCCACGTCTACACGCAGCAGTGAAACGGGATTACGATTTAAAGCCCCTAAATCGAATTAGCTGGTATTCCTCCTGCAATGAGGTTTACCAGCTAATTCGAGTTACGGCTTTAAATCGGAATCTCGTTTCACTGCTGCGTGTAGACGTGGGCAGTTACTTCGGGTTAGTGAATTTCTAAAATGGCGACCAGCCGGGAACATGCAAATCAAGCGCGGGATATTTAAATCACGGGCTTGATTTGCAATTTCAGTCGCCCTCATTAGCCTCCCTAGATTGATCTAGGGGGCTAGTGTAGATGTACCCTAAATAATGTGCAGATTTTTGTGGAATTTTGAAACATGACATGCAGAATTTGTGTATGTGTGTGTGTGGAATTTTTAAGTTGTGGTGCAGAATTCCCTCAGGAGTAGTGCACCATGTCAGGCACCCTAGGTGTGGGCAGGCAGACTCAGCCTGGCAGGATCCAAGTGTACAGAGGCTTAGTGAGAGGGTTCTGCGTGGGGTGGTCTGGGTGTATGTGGCTCAGTGGGGAGTCGGGATACGGGGGATCTGAATGCACAGGGACTCACTCATTGGAGGAACTCCAGGTGCACAGGCAATGGGGCTCTGCAGGGGGCCCAATTGAAGGTGATTAGGGCTCAGCGGGGGGGGGTCTGATTGTGGAGCCGAGGGGCTCATTGGGGGGTACAGGTGCTTAGAGAGTGGGACTTGGTGGGGTGTGGGTCTGACTGCAGCTGGTTAAGGCTTAGTGGGTGGTCCTGGGTGCAGGGGCGTGGCTTGGTTGGGGGGGGGTTCAGTGGGGGGCGATGGGCAGATGGGAGATGCATCTGACTGAGCACCAGCTGGGGCTTCTCCAGCCTCACACTTTTCAGCGATTAACTTTTCTGCTAGCTGCTCTGGGCACTCAAAACAACAGGCCCAGACTTCTGGGGTGGGTCACGTGACCACTCTTGCCGCCTCTCTTAGCTTTGCTGTCAGAAAGACACTTGTCCATGCGGAAGCGAAGAAATCTGCGTGGGACACGAATTCTGTGTGTGCTCAGTGGCGCAGAAGACCTTTGGGAATTATTAGTTTATCTCAGCGATGGGCAACCACAAATACTCAGTGGGCTGCATGAGTGGCCCTCCTTCATCTGAGTGGCTCACTGGTGTTCCACCTGCAGCCGTGGACTCCCTGTCTGCCCGCATTTCCTACAGGTGATTCACAGTGTTCAAGCTCTGGGAGGATGGGGCGGGGACGGAGTGTGAATCAGAGGATTCATGGCCTCTGAAACTTTTGGGAGGGAGGGAGAGGAGAAGGAAGTGCAGGGCTCCAGTGCCCCAGTGTGAGAGAGACACGTGGGGGAGAGGGGCTGACAGGGGATTCGTGGGCCTCAGGTGGAACCCCAGTGGGTCAGCCACAGGTTGCCCACGACTGGTTCATATGGTAGGTACCCAGTATCCTGTCCCCAGCCTCCCATTTACCTTCTCTCACTACCCAATCCCCCTTGCAGTGTACCACAGAGTCTTTTTTAGTCCTTCGTCCATTTTCTCCCCCAATGGACTCACCTTGCTAGATCATGAGTTCTGGGCCATGGATTCCAGAGAACCAGTTCTAGATTTCCTATGGGATTAAAAATGTCTAAAGTTGTATTTATTGTTTGACTCGAGCAAACTTCTGCTTATGAGCTACTCCCATGTTTTTGAATTTCAATCCTCTGATGGCCCCAGAAGAATTGTTGAACAAGAATTTTTCTCATGCCACCTGCTTCCATTTTTTTTTCAGTTTTCCCATGACTTTTACTTTTTTAAAAGTGATTAAAATGAAGGAGTAAATTCAAGATTAAAGTGCTAGGGAAATATGTCTTAGCAGTGAAGGATGGGCCCTTATCTGTGGAACAAACTGTCCCATGTGAGCCCCCAAACCCCATCATTAGAAATACAGGAGGCCCACGACTTGTGACGCTATTAATTCCGGAGGAAGCGTCACAAGTCGGGGGCGTTGTAACTTGAACCCACATTTATGGTAGGCACCCTGCGCCATTGTAAATGCAGGCTAAGGACCTAAGTCGGGGTTTCTGGCCCCTTCCGCACTTACAACAATGGTTGTAAGTGTGGGGGATTGGAACTCGGGTGCTCGCATCTCAGGGGCCTCCTGAATTTAGAGCAGGACTCTAGTGAGGTGGTGTAGAGGGAAATTCTGTGTGATTTTGGAAAGTTGGTTTGCATGAGCAGCCGTCTCTTCCAAAGCCCTCACCATGTAGGAATTGACGGTTAAAACTTCTTCGGTGATGCATTCGGAGAAGTGGGTTTTACCCATGAAAGCTCTTGAGCCTATATATTTGTTAGTCTCTAAGGATACGTCTACACAGCAGGGCTAAAGTTGAAATAAGCTATGCAACTTCACTTACGTCAATTGCGTAACTTAAGTCTAAATAGCTTGTTTCGGCTTTTGGCTCTGTCTACACAGAGTCAGAGGAAGAACACTCTTCCTCTGACTTCCCTTACTCCTCATGAAATGAGGGTTACAGGAGCTGGAGTGAGAAGTCCTCCAGCTCGACATTATTTCAAAATAAAGGCTTGCTGTGTAGACATAGCGTAAGGTGCTACAGGAATACTTGTTGCTTATAAAGTTACAGACTAACACAGTTACCCCTCTGAGTCATTAGGAGAGAGGGTGTTCTGTGCTCTACTGCTGTTCAGTCATTTGTTTACATGGGGTGGATTGGCTGGGGGTGTTGCTTTGGAGAGCACTGGTTTAGCACATGCGAAACCTCAGATTTAATCCATGGAAATTCCTCCACATATAAAATGGGTGGGTCAACTCACGAGCCAGGATACCAAAAAAAATCGAATAGCAGCAGAATGTCAGTTCCTTTCTTCAGCGATGGGTTTATTTCTCTAAACCAAAAGCGTCCAATAGAAATAAAACAGATAAACTGGATCCTTTCCTCTGACGCAGTATCCCCTGCAGGTCTCTCCCTCCCTACTGAGCGGCTCATTAGTGCTTAAGGCCTCAAGTTACACAGATTAATAATATTTGTTTCTGTTCACATATGGTGTCTGTTTCTCTGTTTGTTTAGGTTTTCTCCAATAGCCACCTTGATTATTTGGCATGGATTAAGTTGTTACAGCTGGGGCCAGTTTCTCCCCGATGATGCCACATAGATCAAATTGTGTGGTTTATGTTTGAACCGGGTGTTCTGATTCCCGACAGCAACGGGGATCAAATCTGCCCGTGAGGATGGGACCAGGGTAGTATGGGCCTAGCTGAGGGGAATAGTTTGGCCTGTTAACGGCAAACTGCTTTTACACTTCTTTTTGAACAAACAAGAAAATGGACCTGATTCTCCTCCCATTTATACCAGTGTAACACTAGTGTGACTCTTGGTTTACATCAGCATGAGAAGAGAATCCAGCTCAAAGTGCTTTCCTTTTTCATAGTCTTTCAACAGAAGGCAGACAGTATTAACATACGGGACCAGTATTCTGGCCCTGATCCTGCTGTCATTGAAGATTAGTCCTGTATTTTTAGGATTTTTTTAAAGCAATTCTTCTGTGATAAGATGTGATGAAGTTGATATGATCAGTGGGCTGAGATGTTGTTATACACAGAAGTAACACTTCCTCAACATTTGTTAAATATACTGCAGCTAATTCTAGATACGTCAGCCACATCCTCACTTGCTATGCTGGAGATCTATCTTCTGGCATTTGATTTAGCGGGTCTAGTTAAGACCCGCTAAATCAAACACCGAGGGCACCTCCGGTGCCAGTACTCTTCTCAGTCGCGAGGAGTATGGGAAACTACTTCTTTCGGTCACCTCCGTGAAGATAGTACCAAGCTCAGCTTAAGGTATGTCGACTCCAGCTATTTTACGTAGCAGGAGTGGCATACCTTAATTTGACCTTCCAGGTCTAATGTAGGCCTTGTCTAAATAACCTCACTGTTCCTAATAGCTGAAGCTCTCAAAGCATTTGACGGATGGGGTTTCAAAAGCATAAAGCACTTAAGGCCATATTAGTGATTTTGAGTGTTTGTTTCAGGACACCATTTGAGACACCTAAAGAATAAACTTCAGAATGGAACGAGCACCTCCTTTATGAATTTAGCCCCTGGAAACATGTTTCAGGTTGATCATCCCCCACAAAAAAGTAGTTTTGTTTGGAAAATCTTGGCCTTAATGACAAAATCACACATCGTGTCAATAACACAGTCAGGAGTAGACCCTCGCCTCCTGACAGTCAGTCCTGTGCTGTAAATAGTAGCTATCACATTGTTACTTCCAGTGTGAGTCCTGTTTACTTGTTCAAAGGATGATGGAAGCGAAGAACAAAGGAGAGTTTCCTCTTCCCTTGATACTGCTGTTCCCTCCTTTGGATTGTTGTTTGTGAGAGATGGGGGAAAGAGCCCTGCAGACCTTTCTGGGAGTGATTATAGGAAAAGTAAAGAGTTATTTGTTAATATCCACTCAGAGCTGAGATAAGACTGGCTAGTCCCACTTCCCCATTGATAGCAGGAGGCTTTGTTTCCACAGTTTCCATTGAAGATATTCGGGATGTGAGGCCTGGTCACAAGACAGAGGGGATGGAAAAGTACGCCAAAGATGTCCCTGAGCATTGCTGTTTTTCCATCGTCTTTAAAGACCAGCGGAAAAACCTGGACCTCATCGCCAATTCTGAAGTAGTTGCCAACCACTGGATTGCAGGCCTGAAGAAAATCATAGCCAAGAACAATTCCATGAGCCAGCGGCAGAAACTCCAGCAGTATCCTTTGCCTTACAAAAGCGATTAATTATCCAGCCACAACAAAGATGCACTTGTCTGTCTCACATGGGGGATGTGTGCGCGCGTGGGGGTGTCGAATGGCGCAATGAACAGGGCACTGAGTCTCCTCACTATTACTCCTGGTTTACACTGATGGGAGAGTCCTTTAAACAAAGAATTGCCTCATTGGGGATTTAGGATAAAAAAGCCATTAGTTCCTAGGTTCTTCAGGGATTGGTTTCATTCACCATGAGCGCCAGGCTGGGCATTTCCTGGCAGTGAGTGAAAGGCTTGTAGTGTTTGTGGGTTTTTGTAGAAATGTAATGCCACTATCTGATTGGCCTCTCTCGTGCACCAATTGTACATCAGTGTAGCTCCACTGACTTTAATGGAGTCGTTTACACCAGCGTGGGAGGAATCCCGTTCCCTGGAGAGTTTGCACGCTATATAGGCACGCTACGGACAAGGAGGGGGGAAGGAAATATGCAGCAGAGAAACAAAGTCATTGGGTGAGATCCTGGCCCAATAGAAGTCAATGGGAGTTTCTTCCCCTGGCTTCAATGGAGCCGCTTTCATACACAGTGCTGTAGATCCCTGAGTATCTATGGGATTCGCTGCCATGTTAGAAGTGAGGGCGTTTGTGGGCTGCATCTTTTTAAAAGCCTTTGGACCACCTTTGGGATGCTCTGTGGCTCTCCCTGCTATTAAAGCAACCTACTTGAGTCAGCACTGTGGTTCCTGAGAGCTGCTGGTTGTCTTGTGAGTACCAAGTACATGCTCCTGGATGGACTTTAGCGAGGTGGCCCCATCCTTTGTCCCTTCTGGGCTATTCAGCATACTTATTCATGTTGTGGTCTTACACTCTGTGGTGAGAGGGGGGCAGGTTTTTCTCGGCACCACCAGCAGGACTGTCAAGTTGAATTAGTCAGTAATTGGCCCACAACCTTCCTCTCTCTCCTAGGTAGTGCTTTGAGTAGGGCCTGGGGTGTTAAGTCTGTTGAAGTTGGACTTCTCAGTGGAACCTACACTGCTGTTTCACACAAGGGAGAGCATCCCTTGAAGCTCATGACAGAAGCTTTTGGTAAGACAAAGACTCTCCCATGAACCATGTCTGCATTTAATCTGTGGGCAGAGCTGTCCTATCCATAGGACAAATTGGGGCAGCTGCCCCAGGCCACACACTTTTGGGGCCCCCGCGGCCCCCATCCCAACAGTCCTATGGACGGGAAGGACCTGGGGTATTATGGGGGTCTGGCAAAGCAGCAGCATGGATCGCCTTCCCTCACTACATGGACGGCAGGAGCTAGAATGCCCCAGGGTGCTCTGTTTCCTACCACTGTGGAGAATTGGGAGAGGGTGGCGCAACAGGGCAAAACAGACAGCCGGGCTGCTCCAGCTCCAACCGACTGTGTGGTGAGTGAGGGGGGACCCCTTCTGTTGCCTTGTGCCTGGCCACCCATGATCCTCTGGGCTGTACTGCTTGGGGGAGGGGGAGTTGTCCTGGGCCCCATGTCTGGAGCACTGAGGAGCATTGTGCCAATTCCCCCGCCCGCCCTGGGGACGGCCCTGCCTGTGGGTAATTTAGAGTCCTGGTTGCATTGTTATTGTGTAGCAAGCACAAACCTTGATTGCCCTTCAGAAACAAACACCAGCGAAGGGAGAGGCTTAATGGTTCTTTGAGTAGCAAAATAGTTATCAGGAGCAGGGGAGCTTGCCATTCATCTCTCCCGTTTTTTGCTCCTCTAGCTGCAGCACACCGCGCATGCAAGCAGATAGCGAGAGACCTTCCCTGATAACAGGCTGCGGTTGTGGCTGTTCAGCATGAGACTTCAAGAGAGGGTGGAGCAACTAAATAGCTTTTGCTTACCTCAGATTCCAAGCTCCTTAAACCCACTAGGACACTGCATTTTTTTTTAACACGTAGGCCCTGATTCTGCCATCAGATATATGCAGGCATGTCTGGGTGAAGTTACTGACTTAACCAGCATGACCAAACTATGCAGAATTGTTGCCACAGTGCTGTTGAGGGAATGAGGTAGCCCATCCCTCCTGGGAGAGACCTCACTGCCGGCATCGACAAAACTCAAATGTAGCTCCCTCCTTATTTCAGTTCAGCTGCTCCTCTCACACTGGCCTGTGGCCTCATGCTCCCACCTGGAGCCAACCCTCTCATCTCACTGCTGAGGAAGGTACTTTCTCCTCTGTCACCACCATCTTGCTACATGAGCTCCTCTCTGCCTTGTTCTTACTCATGGGTGCGGGAGCTTCACTAGGTCTTCTGGATGTAACAGTGGTTCTGGTGGGGGTGCCAGCATCCTCAGCTGGAAAACTCTGTACCTAGTTGTTATCTAGTCTATCCCAGGGCTCACATCCTCTGTGTGTGTGTGTCTGTTTTTCCTGCAAGTGATTTCTGATCTTCTCATCACCCCTGCTTGGCTTTCTTCTGACATTGCTCTGAATTGGCCTGTCTCAGCCTGTCTTTGGCACTGAGGTATTTGATGAACCTAATTAGGGTTTGATGCTTACCACTGGGACTTCCCTAATCTAATTATCTCTTGATAATGAGGGATCTCCCTGTCTCCTGCTTTGCTCAGGTCATTACTTTTCTTGTGACCTGTGAATTCCCCTCATAAGTTTTTTCTGGTTTAGGGTTACCTCCTACCTTACCTCTCTTTGGCTTTCATTGGGAACATACAGGTAGAAATGGTCAGAGTGGGCCAGACAGGATTTCCTGTCTTCAACAGCAACCAAGGCCCGGTGTTTCAGAGGCCAGTAGAAACCCCAACCTGCGCCTGACTGTGCAATATTATACAATATCATAACATAGGGAAAGGGAATTTACTGTACTATATCTTGTCATATGGGACCACCAGTATTTCTTCCTGACCCGTGCTAGAGATCAGGTTGTACTCTGAACGCTGAAGAAAGAGAGCCATTGTTTCCCAAACATTTTTGGCATACCCACTTCTGTTGAGACTCCCTTCACCACTTGGGCTCATGTCCAAATTTAGCTCCCTTCTTCCCTGAGTTCAGCCACTCCTCGTGCACTGTGCCTCATGCTCCCACTTGCAGCCAACCCACCATCTCACTGCTAGGTTTCACTTCTAGGGCCACTATCCCACCACGTTGGTTCCTCCATGACTTATTGCTACTCATGGGTAGGGGGACTTCTCTAAGGCTCATAAGATTGCCTTCTTGAGCCCTGGTTTCAGGAGAAGCCGGTGACCAGGATGGGGTGCTGTGAGAAATACTATAAGAACGGCCACACTGGGTCAGATCAAAGGTCCATCCAGCCCAGTATCCTGTCTGCCGACAGTGGCCAATGCCAGGTGCCCCAGAGGGAGTGAACTGAACTGGTAATGATCAAGCGATCTCTCTCCTGCATCCCTCTCCACCCTCTGACAAACAGAGGCTGGGGACACCATTCTGTACCCATAGTGGCTAATAGCCATTAATGCACTTAACCTCCATGAATTTATCTAGCTCTTTTTAAAATCCCTATTATAGTCCTAGCCTTCACAACCTGCTCAGGCAAGGAGTTCCACAGGTTGACTGTGCGCTGTGTGAAGAAAAACTTCCTTTTATTTGTTTTAAACCTGCTGCCCATTAATTTCATTTGGTGGCCCTTAGTTCTTATATTATGGGAACACGTAAATAACTTTTCCTCATTCACTTTCTCCACCCCACTCATGATTTTATAGACCTCTATCATATCCCCCTTGCCTGGTTGTTTTCATTCTGGTTAAAATGTATGATGATTGCACCCTTCCACCACTTCTGCAGCTACAAAAAAGCCACCTCTGGAGCATGTCCAGTTTCAACCACTGAACTATTTCCATCCAAGAGGAGAGATGATTGTGACTAAATAACAATAAAATTTGTTTGGGGCAAAGACTGTAATTTACAAAGTGGAAACATGCCTCTCTCTCTCACTAACTCCTATCAGAATCCAAGTTAAATGGGGGTGGGTAGACAAACAGTATTTCTGGAAGAATAATTATGGTGTCCTGTTGGCGTCCAGTCTGGAAGAGTTACTGTCAGTCTAGCCCAGTTTGGAATTACAGCATAGAACAAATCTCATTTTAGGTTTGCTGATGTTCAATGAAAGCCTGGAATGTAAACGTTGTCTTTCTTCAGTGGATGTGCCTGGAAGTGTGGTTTGCTTTGAAGGCTTCCTTAAAAGACATGTGCATCATATATAGGAATACAGGGAGCTAGGAAAGAAGTTTTGAGGGCCCTTGTCCATTTTCCCCCTTGCCAGGGCAGGGTAGTTTTTTTTCGGTACATTTTCTAGTGCTTTCCACTCTATTTTAAGACAGGTAGTCATGCGGGATGCTTCTGATGTTGGAAAACTCATCCCTTTTGCGTGAGTGACTCTTTCTATACGACCTCAAATCCACAGTTCCTTTATTTCTGATCTAAGGTGTTTTTAACAATGGAAGTGAGGGAACATAGTTAATGTTGGGACTGCACTGAGGGATATATCAGAAGTAGGATGAGGCCCAGGACATCTTCAATTGTGTTGGTGACTCTACCATTAAATTGCAGTGTGACTGTTGCAGTCAGATGGCTAGCTCTCCTTCTGCCTCCTTTCTAGTCTCTCTGAGTGCACCTCTCAGGTGTTTCTCCCTGGCTGGAATCTGGCCGTTCTTCCGCTCTTAAGCCAGAGTGCAGGGACTGTGATAGGGCGCACCATTTGCTGCTTGTCTGGTGCCTCCTCCTGGACATGGTAGGGATTAGCTCTCAAGTCCAACAGCCTTCCCCAGGGTCGAGTCATCACACCGTCTCTGTGTTTCAGGTAGGAAGCTCCTCTTCCCTCCCAGGAACCGCCATGTCCTCTTCGTGACTCAGCCAGGTCACTTAGCGTCCCCCGTTCCAAGCTATATCAAAGGCTTCTCTTCAGCAGTCCTAGGCAGACTTCCCATTCGCTGCCACAGGTGTCGTTCCTTCAGGGGCCAGTAAGTGAATCCAAGCCCCTCCTTTGCTCCAGGTTCCAATCTAGGGACCTTCAGTCCCCCCAAGTTCTGCGCTTTGCTCTTCCAGCCCTCACTGCTCCTTCTCTTGAGGGCTTCTTACCCCTCCTGGTTCCACCCCTTTCTCTAGGAGAACCCACTCCAAACCCTGCTTCCTCTTCCCAGTCTGCTCCAGGTTCCAATCTAGGGACCTTCAGTCCCCCCAAGTTCTGCGCTTTGCTCTTCCAGCCCTCACTGCTCCTTCCCTTGAGGGCTTCTTACCCCTCCTGGCTCCACCCTTTCTCTAGGAGTACCCACTCCAAACCCTCCTTCCTCTTCCCAGAGAGTGGCTGGTGGCTGGGGCCAGCTTCCTGTCTTTATAGGCCCTGCCTCTTCCTATGCCACTGACCCTGCTTCCGGTCAGTTCCCTGCTCCCTGACTCTGACTCCAGATACAGCCTTAGAGTGAACAGGCCTTAACTCCTTCCATTCTTGTGTGGGGTGAGCACCCATCACAGGTACCCGGCCCTGAGGGCCCGATTGCATTTCCTCCTCAGTCAAATCCCACCCATCTTTGCAGGAAAGCAGCCGTTTGCCTTCTGGGCACTCTTTGCCCTCCTGCTCTCACCCCCCAGTCCCTGTTAGTGGTCTTGACTGCTCATTCTTTTGCAAAAGTGTTTTGTCATTCATCTGGGGCAAGAAGCAGTTATGGGGCAAATAATGCCCCCCCCCCTGTGTGTGAGAGAGTTCACCTCTGCCTCATGAGAGCAACATTTAACATTCCCTTTAAAAACAAAGGGCCAGATCCTCAGCTTGAGGGCACTGTGCTGATTTACACCAGCTGAATATCTGGCCCAGAATCTTTAATTCAGGGGTTCCCCCCCCCCCCCCCCCCCCCACTACAGGAAGGATGTGGATGCACTGGAGCTTACATCAGGTTGCAGCTGGATTCACACCTGCTTGCGGAAAGCCGATAAGAACAAAGACAACAAGATGAGCTTTAAAGAGCTCAAGAACTTCCTGAAAGAAGTGAACATTCAGATGGACGACAGTTATGCCAAGCAGATCTTTCAGGTAAGGCGGGTTTACAATGGGCATGGTAGTGAATGGGCTGGCATGGGGTCATGTTATAAACATTTTAAACGTCTGTTATAAGACATCAGATCTCTTTCTATCCCTTACTTAAAGTTAAATATGAAAACCTTTATTTTAAAAAAGAAAATCTTGCTTTCAATTAGGGTGTGTCTAGACAACAGGGTTTTTGTTTTTTTTTTCAAAAAAAGTAGCCTTTTTTTGAAAAAACTTCACCTGCGTCTAGACTGCAGCTGCGTTCTTTCGAAAGTAAATTGAAAGAACGCGGCAGTTTTTTCGATCACGGTAAACCTCATTTTACGAGGAATAATGCCTTTTTTCGAAAGTACTCTTTCGAAAAAAGGCACTATTGAATGCAAACTGCTTTTTTGAAAGAGAGCATCTAGACTCTTTCAAAAAATTGGCTCGCTTTTTTGAAAAAACTGCTTGTAGTCTAGACGCTCTCTTTCGAAAGATGCTTTTTTGAAAGTTTCTTTCAAAAAAGCCTCTTTCGAAAAAGGCTTGTAGTCTAGACGTAGCCTTAATGACATTATATGATGACAAACTGATGGAGTAGGCAGATTTCAGAGGGGTACTCATGTTGGTCTGTTTCAGCAAAAACAATAAGGAGTCTGGTGACACTCTAAAGACTAACAAATTTATTAGGGCATAACATTTCATGGGATTCCACTTTTTTTTGTGGAAGAGCAGATGCACTCTTTTGGAAGCCCTGTCTTCCTCCTCCCACGAGGAAGAAGGGCTCTTCCGGAAGAGGAGGCCTTTCCGAAATTTGGCCCAGTGTAGATGGGCCAAATTTCAGAAAAGTGTCTTCCGAAAAAACTATCAGAAAAAGGTACGCAAATTGCGGAGCACAATTTGCGTACCTTTTGCCGATAGATCATTGTAGTATAGACATAGCCTCAGATGCTGAAGAAGAAAGAAAAGAAAAAAAGGAAGGGATACAGAGATGGAAGTATGACATCAGTGTTAATTCGATCAGAGTGGCTTTGGCTCATCTCCAAGGGTGATGAGAAGGTGAGAGTACCTGAAGGGGAATTTATCTATTGTAATGTGAGAACCACTTCATGTTTTTCTCAAATCAGACATTAAGAATGGCAACATACAAAAACCAAATAGGAGCACTTTAATCTCCCCAGACACAGAGTTTTTGACTTGCAAGCTGCCATTCTCAAACACAAAAACACTTCAGAAACAGACTGCAGCAAGAAACTGCTGAACTGGAATTTCTTTGCAAACTTGACACCCTGAAACAAGGTTTAAATAGACACATGGAGCGGTTCTCACATTACAAGAGGTGATTTCCCACTCAGGTGCTCTCAGCTTCTCATCACTGCTGAAGTGGAGCCACATCCACTCTGATTGAATTAGCACGGATGTCACACTCCCATCTCTGTAACCCTTCCTTTTCTGGGGTTTTTTTTCAGCATCTGAGGAAGTGAGTTGTATCTCAGGGGGGTTTTTTTCAGCATCTGAGGAAGTGAGTTGTATCTCAGGAAAACTTATGCCCTAATGCAGAGGCGGCCAACCCATTTAACAATAATGCGGAAAAAATGCGAAGAATTTCTGCATCACAATTGTCAAGCAAAAAAACCCCAAACCCCCAAAACAGAATTGTCGAGCAAAAACAAAAAATTAAAAAAAAAAAATTTTTAAATGGAGGCTGCCCCTTTAAGATGTCTGCCATGTTGGGCGCCATTTTTAAAACCCTGCAGCTCCAACCTGGTAAACACAGGGAAGCTGGGAGCTGGCAGCAGCTGTTTGGAGGGGGGTGCAGAAGCGGTTTTGCAAGCTGCATTTTTGGGGGGCAAGAGCTGCTTGCGAGCCATGGGTTGGCCCTGGCTGCCCTAATGCCCTAATAAGTTTGTTAGTCTTTAAGGTGCCATGAAACTCCTTGTTGATTTAGTAGAGAGTTAGTATTTTCCCACAAATTACCATAGACCCCAGTCCTGCTGCAGGGCTCTACTGGGGGAGCCTTAGACTGCAGGTCCTAGCTGTTGTTTGCATAGAAGATAGGCATGTCATCTCCTCATACTCCCCTTCCCCTACCCTAGTTCTATGGAGACCTCTTTGTGGCTATGTCTACACTACAGGCTTCTTGCGCAAGTGCACGTCCACACTGCAAAAGCAAGAGAGCATCCAGACTGCATGGACACTCTCTCGAAAGGAAATTCTGATTGCTCTGAACAGAATGGTCACCAGGGCACCTGTGCTTTTTTCGATTGCCTCTTTTTGCTCAAAACCCCCCTGGTCCTCATCCACACACACCTTTTTGCGCAAGAGCTCTTGTGCAAAAAGGAGTTATTCCTTGTAGAAGGAGGAATACCTACACCGGAAAAACCCCTCTGTTCTTTCATTTTACTTGAGCAAAAATGTGCCCGAGGTGTGGATGCTCTGAGTTTTTGTGGAAAAATGGCCATTTTTGCACACAAACTCTGTAATGTAGACTTAGCCTGTGTGGGAACTCCACCTGGGCTCGGGGGAAGGTTGGCCAGAAAATCTCTACCAACTTTTAAATTACTCAGAATTTCAGGACACACAGCTGGGCGGGTTAGTAAGCTACTTCCTCTGCTTCTCTCATCCTATGTCACTTTTATTGTGCTAGTTGTAAGAGAAGAACAAAAAGCTGAACTGTTTGTCAAAGTTGTGGCTTGTAGAGTTTGGCTCCTAACTCGGCAGCCCAACTGCTCCCAAAGCATTCCAGTAGTAATTTTCCATAGGGAGCAAGAATACCAGCGCCCCAAAGACCTCATTATCATTTTGCTAGAGGAGATGACAGGGGCACCATGATTGTCTTCTGTGCAATTAGTACTGCTTGGCCTAGGTCCTAGTAGGATGGTTGGTAAATTGAAATGTGCATTTTGTTTGTAAGATTCAGGAATGTGAGCATATCTTGCATTTATACCATGCCTACCATCCTGAGGGATCTCATAGCTTCTTATAACACTATACACACATGGAACCCCTGAAATGTAACTACCTCCGAAATGGTATACAGGCTGGATCTCCCTGGTCCAGCACCCTCGGGACCTAACTGGTCTTGGATGAGGGAGTTTTCTGGACAAGGGGAGGTCATTTCTGGTCCCCGTTTTCCGGACAAGGGGAGGTCATTTCTGGTCCCCCTGTCACCAGTTTTGCTGGGGTATGCCTGCTCCTGCTCCATTGGCAAGCCATCTGGGGTGCACTGGGCTCCTGGTACGCCTGTTCCCACCCTGCTGGCAGCTTGCTGCTGGCACTCCACTGCCCTACCAGCCACTGGCCTTTCAGTCACCAGCCCAGCACGGGGCTCTCTGGTCCTGGAACACGTTGCTGGACCCCAGTTTAGAGGGGTTCAACCTATAAAGCATGGTCTTCAGCTCTCAGGGCCGGGGATGGAACCTTTTTTGGCCAAGGGTCTTGAGGCAAACCAAGTAGTATGCAAATTTTGAGATCTGTGCAGAGTGGGTCGGACTTAGGTTTTCAGAGTCCCACCTGAAAGAAAATCTCGACCTAATCAAACTCAGTGGTCCAGAAGCCTCAGCTGTGGATAACTGCTGTCTTGTTAGTTAGAGCAAGCCAGTCATCAAAATATCTAGGTAGGTTGCTAGAATGCTATAAGGAAAAAAAGTTTTCAGTCCTTCTCCCCTCTGTTTACAGCAATGTGACAAATCCAAGACCGAGACCTTGGAAGATGAAGAGATAGAGACATTTTATAAGATGCTCACTGAACGGAAGGAGATAGACGAGATCTTTGCAAAATATTCCAGTAGCGAAGGGATCATGTCCAGGGACAACCTGCTGCGGTTCCTCCAAGAAGAACAGCAGGAGAAGGATGGTGACCCTGAATCTGCAGTCTCCCTGATTGATAAATATGAGCCCAACGAAACAGGTGGGTTGGCAGCACTGACTGCTGTTTGGGTTGGATTCCAAAATGCTCACTATGGGTCGAGCAATTCCCTGAACGGTTTTGTTGCTGTTTCCTTCTGCAGCCTTCTGTGTCCTTGTATTGCATCAGCCAACAGATGGTTCATTTAATAATAATCCTTGTATAATATTTAGCATTACTATAGCACCTGTCCTCTGATCATCTCAAAGGCCCTTGCACAGGTAGTGTCGTTTCCATTTTCCAGATGGGGAAGCCGAGTTACGAAGAGGTAGATTGACAATAGGACTTAGGCACCTAACTGCCACTTTAGGTGCCTAAATCCCAGAATTAGGCCCCACTGGGATTCACAAAGCTCCTGCTTAGCTGCCACCAAGCTCTGTAGGTACCTAAACTCACTCAGAGCCTAAATTTTTGGAGTAAAAGCTCCCCAGGTCCCTTTGTTCCTGCCTCTAGGCATGTGCATGGCAGCTCCAATGCACATGTCTGGAATACTGGTATAGAACAGAGGTGGGCAAAATCTGGCACATGATGACCTTCCAACTGGAGCTGGAGAAAAAAGTCCTGTGGCCCAGTGAGGAGCTTGGGCACTCTGCCTGCCTGCCGCGGCCCCAGCCATGCGGCTACCAGAAGCGCCACAGCCGGAGGATGCTGGCAAGTGTGTCTCTGCATGCTTCTTGGGAGAGCGGGATAGCATGTCTCCTCGCGCCGCCCCCAGCACCATCAGCATTGGCCAGAAACCACTCTTATCCCCTCCATGGATATAATAGAAAGTGTGGCCCATGTCAACTTACCAAAATTCTTGGAGGGGCCCCCCCTTAAAAATTATTACCCGCCCAATGTATAGTGGGATAAATCCTGCTCAGGAAGGACAAGCAGGGAGACAGAGAAGGAGATGTTGCCTTGTATATCAAAGATGTTTCACTGAGGCCGAGATGGAAATAAGAGACGGTCTCGTTAAAAGTCTGCGGGTAAAAATTAAAAGGGGTAAAAAACAAGTGTGACATCCTGGTAGGGATCTACTGTAGACCGTCTAACCAGGAAGAAGAGTGTAGATGACGCTTTTTAAAAACTAATAAAACCATCCAAAGCACAGGTGTTGGTGGTGATGGGAGATTGCAGCTACCCATACGTATGGGGGGAAAAAAACACAGCGGGGTGCAGATTATCCAACAAATCCTTGGAATGTATTGGAGACAATTTTTTATTACAGAGGGTGGAGAAAGTGACTAGGGGAGAGGCTGTCCTAGATTTGAGTCTGACAAACAAGAAGGGACTGGTTGAGAATTGGAAGGTGGAAGGCCACTTGCATGACAGTGGATCATGAATTGATAGAGTTGGTGATTTCAAGGAATGGCAGAGGGAAAACAGTGGAATAAAGACAATGGACTTCAAGAAGACAGACTTCTGCAAGCTCAGAGAATTGGGAGGCAAGATCCTGTGGGAAGCAAGTAAAAGGGAAAAACAGTTTGAGGGAGTTGGTACTTTTTCAAAGAGACACTAGGGCTACGTCTATATTGGCAAGGTTTTGCGCAAATACTCTTTAACGCAAGAGTTTTTGCATTAGAGTATTTGAATAAGAGAGTGTCTGCACTGGCATATGCCTTTGCGCAAGAGATTTGCTTTTGCACAAGAGCATCCATGCCAGTGTAGACGCTCTCTTGCGCAAGAAAGCGCCGATGGCCATTTTAACCATAGGGTTTTCTTGCGCAAGAAATTCATGTTGCCTGTCTACACTGGCCTCTTGCGCAAGAAGAGTTGTGCAAAAGGGCTTATTCCTGAGTGGGAGCATCATAGTTCTTGCGCAAGAAACCCTGATTTCATACATTAGAACGTCAGTGTTCTTGCGCAAGAACTCGCGGCCAGTGTAGACAGGCAGCATGTTTTTGCGCAAAAGCGGCCGCTTTTGTGCAAAATCACGTAGCCTAGGGATATCAGAGCAAACTGTCCTACTGCACAGAAAAGACAAGGAAGTATGGATGAGAGACCGTCCCGGTTTATCCAGGAGATCTTTTATTACTTGAAACTCAAAAAAGAGTCCTCTAAAAAACAAAAATAAGGTCATATTACAGAGGATGAATATAAACAGACAGCACAAGCGCACATGGACAAAATTAGAAAGGCTAAGTTACAAAACAAGGTTAAACTAGCTAGAGACAGAAAGAGTGACAACAAAACATTCGACAAATATATAAGAAGCAAGAGGAAGACTAAGGCGAGTTAGTCCTATTACTCAATGAGGGGAGAAAGACAATAACAAAAACAGTTTAAATAGCAAAAGTGCTAAGTGATGTTTCTTTCAGCTTCCACCGAAAAGGTTAGTAACGATTGGACAGCTAGTGAATGCTGGTGAAAATGAGGTAGGAGCTGAGGCTAAAATAGGAAAAGAAAAAAAATTACTTAGACTCCCACTGTCTATCTCTCCTTAGTTGTTGCATAGGGAGACCAGGCACCCAACTCAGTGTGTGGAATCTCGGAGATTTTCCAAGCACCAGAGAAGCATGGTAACGTTAGACAAGAACAGGTAACCCAGAGGGCGGATGGGGTAGCAGGCTCCTTTATTGCAGATATTAATTCTGTCTCGGAATCCCCACCCCCAAACCTGGGATCTGAGGCTACGTCTACACTACAGGGTTTTTGCGCAAAAACCCGCTGAGCGTTCACACCTCAAGCATGTCTTGGAGCAAGTAAATTCACAGTAAATCAAAAGAACAGAGGGGTTTTTGCGGTGTAGGTATTCCTCTTTCTTCGAGGAATAACTCCTTTTTGCACAAGAGTTCTTGCGCAAAAAGGTGTGTGTGGATGGGCACCGGGGATTTTTGCACAAAAAGAGCCAATCAAAAAAAGCACAGGTGCTCTGGTGGCCATTCTGTGAATGGCAATCAGAGCTTTCTTTCGAGAGAGCGTCCATGCAGTCTAGGTGCTCTCTTGCGCAAAAGTGCATTGCTTTTGCGATGCAGTTTTGTAATGTGGACATGCTCTTGTGCAAGAAGATTTTATGGAAGATCTCTTCTGCAAAAAGCTTTTTGTGCAAGAAGCCTGCAATGTAGGCATAGCCTGAGTGAGCAGCAAATTAATCACAGATACACCTTTTTATCTTAGTATGTAAATATGTTTATTAATTACATCACCCTTTAAGTCCTAATTTAATAATGTGAACGCCTATATAACACATAATGATAACCATATGATAAATATAACTATACCCACCCTTGTTTACTGTTCACAGCTTTTCAGTTGATGTAAGCAGTTCTTACATCACAAAACTTCTTAAATCAGCAACTTGCAAGGGGTAAAAGATATGTGACCCTGAATGTATACTTCAGAGTGAATGGGAATGGATAAGGAGGTAAGGAAGACAGCATTGTTAACACATAGAGCGTTCATTAAAAGTTACATCCTTCGTACAGCTGCATGCTTATCTATTGCAGGGGCCTAGCTACGGGGAAGCGGAGGGGGTGGGGGGGAGGAGTTGCCCCCGGACTTCACACTAGGGCAAGGGTAGAGAGAAAGGCGTCAGTGGGTCTGGGACCCCCTGGCCCTGCCGCAGCAGCTGTGGCCATGTCAGACCTGCCTGCGCCATTCTCCCTGACTCGCCTTAGCATGGCACCATAGGGCAACTTCCCCCCCCCCCGCCCTCCTCCTCACTACACCCCTGATTTATTGTGAGCAAGCAGGAAAGGAGGCATCCAAGCAGGTCTATAAATCAATAGAAGCAGTGTCTGCCTGTGCCGTGCTGTGCACCATTGCTGTGCAACTACCAAGACCCCTTATTTAACTTTTACACACCCCAACAGGTAACGCTCAGCATCTCCACGCCTGCGTTTCCGAGCCAGTCTAGCCTCAAGAGAATGAGAACCTTTTGCAACTGGGGTGCCTAAAAATGCATAGGTGCCTAAATCCATATTTAAGCAGCCAACTAAGAGACCTGCATTTTAATAGAGTAAATAGAGAATGACTGTAGATTAAATGAGTAACCACCACGCAACATCTGAGTTTCAAGGTTCAGGAAAGCAAAAAGGCTGGGCTGCATCTGAGCTGTCATTGGAGCAGCCACGCCTCCTGATGGGGGTGGTAGGGAAGGGGCCCTGGGCCCTTTATATTGCCACTGAAGCACTGTGCCATGTGCTCTGGGTGGCTCTTGAGGCTGACTGGTGGGGGGAAGCCTGCTCTGGGTGGTGCTCCTGGCTGCCAACCCTGCCCCTCCTGCACAATGCCACGCCCTTTCCTGGAGCCGGCTGCCCCCACCTGGCCCCTTTCAGGAGCAGGCCGCCTGGAAAGGGCATGGCCTTGAGCAGGAGGGGCAGGGCTGGCAGCCCGGAGCACCACCCAGAGCAGGTTTTTCCCCCCCACCAGTCAGCCCAAGGAGGTTTACAGGATCTGTCGAAAAGGGCTTTCTTTCTCGACAGATCTCCCTCTAGACTGCCGCTTTTTGCTGACAAATTGCTGAGTCGGCAAAACATGGCAGCCATTTTTATGCAAATTAGGCACAGGATATTTAAACCCCTGCCTCATTTGCAATGTCGACCTGCCTAATCTGCATCTCCCTGCTGACAGAGGGATGCAGTCTAGACATACCCTTAGTGTTTCCTTATGATAGAGAATTTGAGGGTTGTGAAGGGCATATAAAACTAGATGTTCATTTTTTTATTCTGAAAGCATTGTCAGGCAGCCTCTTCTAAACATAAACATCTTCACAAAGGCCAGATTCAACACAGGCAGCTGACTGAAGTCAGTGGGAGCTGTGTGCAGGCAGGCGTCTGTAGGTACTATTCTTAATCCTTTCACATTTGTTTCTTTGTGACTCAGTAATCTTGCAATGCCCATTGACCAGGGCATGAAGAGGGGTTACAGGAATCTCTTGGGTCTGGTATGTGTATATTGTAGTTCACCAAAGAATGTAATGTGAGGTCTTAGATAAAAGCCAGTGTCACATGAGTCATCGATATCATGAAACACACGTACGTAGGTAGTGTGAAGAGTTCTGGGTACACCTGTTTGCTGAAAATGGCGTCTTGTGTCTAGGGGCTAGTCAACAGCAAAAGTGAAAAACAGGTTTTCTGTCAGACAAGACAAGTTTGTCTGTCTAGCTGTGTGCTGTCCCGCCTGAACCAAAGGCTAATGAAGGACTGTGAAAACTTCAAAGCAAGAAGAGTAGCCATGAAGAGGTGAACAGTGGGGGATGAGGTGTGGAGTCCTATATGGCGGTGCTCATTAAAGTCTTGCTCTGGTACATCTGGGAGACAAAGATCTGTCATCATTCACCTACGATGTAAACTGAGAATGAGTTTGCTTCGTGAAAGAAGGGTCTCAGCCAGGCTTGGTTGAAACCATTGGAGACAACGTTGAGTGAGAGGGATCTCAGTGCTGGGGCTTTAAGCACAGTGGTGATCCTAAGTTGAATCTTACAAGCTGGTGTGTATCGCTCCTTTGGGAACAGCAGGCCTGGTCATTCTGTGAGGAACTGAACACCACAGGGAATGCGCTGAAGACTCGGGAGTTGGTGTGTGCCTTTAGCTAACCTGTTCAGGGAGGGTATGTCTACACAGCAGTTATTTTGAAATAACAGCCGTTATTTTGAAATAACTTTCCTAGCGTCTACACAAGCCAACTGCTATTTTGAAATTAATTCAAAATAGCGGAGGGCTTATTTTGAAATTGGTAAACCTAATTCCACGAGGAATAGTGCCATTTTTGAAATTGCTATTTTGAAATAAGCACTGTGTAGACGCTTATTTCAAAATAGGGGGCCTCCAGCCCTTCCTAGGGTACCCTGCTGGCCATCCTGGCCACAAAGTAACTTCTGACCTATGCCCTGCCGGAACTAGTTCTGGCTGGCCTTAATTGCGATTCAGTGTCCAATTAGTATGGGCGCGCTGTTTCGAAATAGCAAAAAGCTATTCCGAAATGCATTTTGTGTGTAGACGCATTATTTCTAAATAAGATATTTCGAAATCACTATTTCGAAATTAGATATTTTGAAATAACACTGTAGTGTAGACGTACCCAAAAAGTGCAGGACTGGAAGGCCATGCTTGACTAGCCAAAACCTGGTTGTCTGAGAGTTGACCCATAACGAGTTACAGACAAGACTTCCTCACTTTAGGACAGCTGGTGGCGAGCGGCCTCACAGCCCAGGGTATCTTTAGGCTGTTTCATATTCTTCCAAAGTACCAGTGTCATATTTTCACCAGTGGTATATATTTCTTTTATCTGGCAGCCAAGAAACAACAGAACTTGACCAAAGATGGTTTCCTGATGTATCTGCTGTCTGCTGATGGGAACATTTTCAACTCGTCTCACAGTAAAGTTTACCAGGACATGACTCAGCCCCTCAGTCACTACCTCGTGTCGTCTTCGCACAATACCTATCTAATGGAAGACCAGTTGAGAGGGCCCAGTAGCACAGAGGCCTATATCAGGTAAGGGGGGTGGGATCTCTTAACACTGATTGTACAAGTATTCAGAGCACACACAGACAGAGTTGGCCCTAAACAGAATGTTCAGTTCCACCCTTGCATGAACTAACCCCGACCTTATTGCTGGTTGTTGTGTCTACCAGCTAGTGGCCAGATGTTGGTGTGGTCTCAATCAACTAGCACAACAAGAAGCTTCTCTGGAGCAGAGCCAACGGACAGTATTGCCAACCCATAAATGTGCAATAATCCTGACTCAGGCCCCCCAAATAAGGAGATTTTACGAAATAATTAAATGTTGCATTCTTTGCACCTATCTTCTATTGTTGGGGATTTCATGCGTCATGTTTTCAAGCTGTTTTCTGAAGCCACAAGGGCTAACAGTATGGTGGTTTTTTTTGGTGAAAGCTGGATTCACAGGCAATAGCCTGATTTCAGGAGGAAACCCTACCTCCCCATCACGTGAATGACGATCAGATTGTGAGAGTTAGTTACAATGAGTAGGTGCTCTGCTATTGTAGCTCTTTTCCTACTTGATGGGATTGTCGGGAGGCAGCAACGCTCTAGCCAAAAGCGATGGGGAGGGGGCAGAGAATTTAGCTCAATGAGTTGGTTTCATTAGTTATTTGAATGCTTTTTGCAATATCAGGAAATTACTTAATCCCATTTCCATTGTGGTTAACTCTATGGTTCCTACGGGTCTTGTAGCAATGCTTATAGGCGATGAGTCACTTTAAGCATATGGGGAATTACTATATTCATTTTAGAGAAGAGTGGAAAGATCGTCTTCAGAAGCCTAGAGTCATGGCTACCGGGGACAAGAACTTAAATGTGAAGACAGGAAATGACTGAACCAGACAGTGCAGGGCAAGGGCTTCCTGAGCACACATTCACAGTGGAACTTTCTACAAGGGATTTAATCACATGGCTCTCATGAAACGACAGTGGAGTTCACCTAGCTCCATCACTGAGCATGGCTTTGAAAATGCATCCCTAGCTCCTTTTCAGATGTGCGTGAAGTGTTCACAAGATCTGGGCTCTGTGATTGTGGCTTCCTTGGTCTATTCTCTTTGTGCCTTCGTCAGCCTTTTCTTTATCTGCTCTTCACCATCTCTGGCCTTCCCTAGCTCCCTTGTCTCTAACCTCTCTGTGCTTTTTGGATTCCCCCTTACCTTCAGCCGCCCCGAGCTTTTCCCATCGCCCCTCTCCTCAGATTCCTTTTGTGCATTGCTGAGCTCACTTGTCCATTTCTCTGAGCTCTGCTCCTTTCATTGACGCCGCGCTTTCTGGATCTCCACTCTCCTCAGTCCCGTCGGGCTTTTATAGAAACCCTCCTTTCTTCACTCGCTCTGCACTTGTCAAAGAGCCTTCCCTCTGCCTTCGGTGTGTATTGAAATGCCCATATGCGATAGCATCCCCTTTGTGCGGGGGAGAGGTGGAAAAACCCAAATGCCCCCATTCTTTGTTTCCAGAGCCCTGACCAAAGGCTGCCGTTGTGTGGAGCTGGACTGCTGGGATGGTCCTAACTCAGAGCCTGTCATTTATCACGGCTACACGCTCACCTCCAAGATCCTCTTCAGTGACGCCATAAAGGCCATCAAGAACTACGCCTTCAAAGTAAGAGCAAAGGGCAGGGGAAGGGGAGGGGGGGAGAGAAGGGGAGCATCTGGCAGCTTCATTTCTTTTCCCTGAGAACAAACAAACAGCCATGGGAGGGAAGGGGAGCATCCGGCAGCTTCATTTCTTTTCCCTGAGAACAAACAAACAGCCATTCAGCTCCAGGGAAATATTCCAGTTTGTGCGTGCAGAATGGAACCAGCCTACTCGCGTTTGTCACTGGGCCCTCTCTGGGCTGCCAGCCCTGTGCCTTGTCCTCTGCTTTGTGCGTGCAGAATGGAACCGGCCTACTCGTGTTTGTCACTGGGCCCTCTCCGGGCTGCCAGCCCTGTGCCTTGTCCTCTGCAGTGAGCCGCATCGGAGGGTTATCTGAGTGCTGAGCCCGCTGGGGCAGGGATTGGTTGGCATTGTACAGGGGTGCAGCTCTTCGCACCATGGTACCCTACCACAATGAAGACAGTAACCAGTAGCGAGAGCCATAACACAGGTGGGCAATGGAAAATGTAGGCAGTCATCTTGACTCAGCTGCTCAGTTCCTGCTTAGCTTGGCTGTGATGACTCCGTCTTATTTATCCAGAATCCAAAAAGCATTCTTGGACTGTAGCGAAATCCAGGCATGTGCCTTTGAGGGACTGAGAAGAGATATTCCCTCTCCCTTCCTACTGGGAGTAAATTACAGGTTTTAGCAATCACACCTGGGCTGACGTCCTTTATACCAAACCTGTCTGTCCAAATTCCCTGGAGGCTCAGGCTTGTTCCTCTTTCTTTAGTTAACGTTAACTTGACTTTAGAGCCAACATCCACCTTTCACCAGGGTTTTAGGGTGCAGATATCAGAAGCCGACATTGCAAGGAAGTATCCAGGAGAGTGCACAGTGGGTAGCCCTTTCCTGGCACCCTAAAACGTGTTGGGTGCGAAAGCGGGAAAGGAAGAAATGACTTGATGATATAGGCTGTCTCTCGTCACACTCGTATCTGTGCATGTCATAGGACGTTGCTTTCAGAACACCCCTCTGAGGTCAGGAAGCATTCTTCCCATTTTACAGATGAGGAACTGAGACACGGGTAAAATTAAATGACTTATTTAAGGTGTGTGAACCACTGGAGCCTTTCTCCCTGTTCAGTTATCTAGGCTCTATATTACTCTTCCCGGAAGGCTTCAGTAGATGGCTACCCAAATAGTGCCGTAGTGAAGTGAATGCGTCTTTGAACTCTCTGTACTGCTGTGTTAACACCCTGGTTTCCAATGAAACATGCTTTTTGAAAACTGCTAGCAGCAGTGTGTTGGTTGTGTAACACACAGAGGGAAGAGATGACCAGGTGTTAACCCACAGTGTGTGTTGGTTGTTGTCTTACTGCAGACCTCTCCATATCCAGTAATCATTTCCTTGGAAAACCACTGTAGCCTGGAGCAGCAGAAGATGATGGCGCAGCACATGAAGCAGATCCTGGGGGACATGCTGCTGGTAATGCCCGTTGAAGGGAATATATCAGACTTCCCCTCGCCAGAGGTGAGTGCCACGTTAGCACCTTGTGTGCTGTTACACAGCCTATACTCTTACCGGACTTGGGTACTATCACTCACTGTGATAAGGAGAGTCACTGAGGAGTCTCGCTTGATGACAGGCTCTGTGGAACTCAGGGGAGTTTCTGGTCCACTTGCGGAGCTCAGGCCATGTCTTCAGGCCAGTTACAGGGATAGTGTGTGCGGGGGGGAGGCACATGACCCCCACACTATGAGTGGGAGGACCAAGGGGCCAGCCAGCAGCTGGCAGGGCCAGAGTCTTTGGACGGTCCAGGGGCTAGTGGAGGGGGCCTGGTGCCCAAAGAAGGGGTCTGCCCTCCATCCCCTTCCCACACGCAGCAGAGGAGGAGTGGAGCAATGTGACCCCAGCTCGCTCTGTTCTCCCAGTGCGCCTACTCGGGGGAGGGAGCAGGACTGACCCTGTGCAACCCACACACCTGGTGTGGTTCACTATCCCATGGAGTGGCACTTAGACCACTTCCAGTGAGAGATAAAAACAAGTGAGCTCTATAGCCTAAACTCAGAGCCAGCTAGCTTTGTCACTCAAGCTGCAGAGGCTCCTACGCTGAGGTCCCAGGTTCAAATCTGCCTGGTGGCAGTTACGCCTGCAATCACTGGAGGGAAACAGTCATGCAGCTGGGGTAGCAGAGTAAGCTGGGGCCACGTTGCTCTGCTGCTCATGAGTGGTGGTGGGGGGGACAAACCCTCACTACTGGCTATACCCCCCCTGCTGGCTATGCCCTGAGACAGGACAGGGGTGGGGGAGAAGGCAGGGCAGGGGCCTGGAGCAGAGGGGAATTATTTTGGCCCTTTCCCAGGCTGACGGTTATCACATGGCAGGTTGCTATCCATAACTCCCCTCACCTGCTGCCCCCCCCCCCCCCCGTTAGCAATTGCTTTCCCACAGGTCTCAGCCAGTCAGCTGGGTACTATAGGTCTGTTCTGTATACGCTCACCATACACAGAACTTGGTTAACATCATCTTCCATTATCTCACGTCCACAGGACACTTAGTTTCAGTATGTAGGCGGGGAGGGCCAAGCTTCTTGGGAGAAGTGACTGGGTGAGTTGTCTCCAGGCTTCTGAACTGGGGGGAGTTGATCTCTGCTGGATTGTAAGCCAGAGGGGAAGCACCGCTTTGTACTGAAAGAAGAAAGGTCTCAGTGGCTTACTCCCTGCTGCCCTTGGAATCCTCCATCAGGATTCCAGCTAGTTCCTAGGGAGCAGAGAGCGTAAGGGAGACAGCCATGCTGCATGGATTTCCCCTACCCCTTCCCTACCCCCGAGCGCATGGGGAAAACCAGCGCAAGCAACTGCAAACCAGGCTGTCGTGTTGCATGTCTTCCTACTGGGGGGATTCTGAGGGCAGCGGTGGCTGGGAGGGGAGTAAGGAGCCTGGCTCTGGCAGAGGCTGCGTTCTCACAGGATTGTGAGGAGGGAAGAGACTGGGTGGCCGTGCACATGTCTGGAGATCCTGGCATATCAGTGTGGCCCAGCAGTTTGGGGAGCTGATCCCCAGACCTGATGCCGGAGGGAGGGGTCCAGCAGAACGAGGAGGTAACTCAAGGAGCTGACACTTATGGGCCATTGGCTGGCTACTACCCATGCAGCTAATAATCCCCTACCGGTCTGAACTTGTTAGTGCTGTTGCAGAAAATTGGCCAGATGCTCTGCTGGGAGTGAATCAGCGTAGCCTCCTGGATGCCACCGACACCATTATATGCTAGCTGAGCATCTGGCCAGCTCTGTGACGCTTCGGCCCGATTCCAAAACACCAGCCCATGGAGGAAAAGACACAGTGACAAAAATGACCTTGGATTAGCGAGGACCTTTTAAAACTTTTTGCTCAAAGCTTCCTTGGCCCAGAAAGTGTTGGGAGGAGTTTGTGGATGGGAAAAATCGGATAGTCAGTGTGGGAGTGAGCAGAGGAGAAAAGCAGTCAAAAATACCATAGGAATTTGGCATGTTTCATGTTCTGCTGTGTTTTAAATCATTTGGGAGAGTGACTCTGTTTTTGTCTAGTGCTTCGCAAAACGTGGTCCTGTTCCTAGGCATTGCTGTAATAAACACATGGGCTTTATTTTGTTAATAAAAACACCGCTGCTCCACTAGGACCCTTGCAGTAGGGAAAAGAATTGCACTCCATAGTTCAGCACTGTGCCAGGGCTAGTGCAGGAATAGGAGCCACCCCAAGGTTGGGGATTGAATCAGATTTTAGTGAGCTGGACAGGCAGGCCCTTGAGAGATCTTGTTACTGACTTTCCCTGTCCTGACTCCTTGTTTGCCCTCAGTGCAAAGTCCTGAAATCAGCAGTTGCTGTTAACTCAGAGGGCTGTTAACGCTTTGTAGCCCAATAATACATTTCTATATATAAACAAATCTTTAACAATCATTAAAAAATAAAACTGGAAATAATAAACCAAACAAAAACCAAACATTTTGTACATTTTTGTTTCCTGCAAGCTGTCTGATCAGCACTCTGGCTCCTCCGATGGACAAAGGGGTAAATCAGTATCGCTGCATTAAAGTCAATGGAGCTGTGCTGATTTACATCGATTGAGTACCTGGTCAAGTCAGCATTTTTTTTAAGGAAAAAATAGTGGTATAAACATAATTCCTCATGTTTTTTTCTCCTGTACTATTTTGCCATCTGCTTAACATGTGTACCCAGTAGAATCTGGTGTCAAGACCAAATTGGTCACTGTTGTAGAAAATACTTTCATTTCTAATTGATACATAAAAAGAAAAACCTTCCTTGATTTTCCACTTCCTAGAAAAGAGGGAAGCAAGAGGGGACAATGAATTTGTTATTAGGAAATGGTGTGTCCATTTCTTTTCTGTTTGCAATCCGCCCCCAGCAAACAGCTGGAAGGCTGTAAACAAAATGCAAAGCAAGAGACACCACGGGTGAATCTACACTGGGCCACTTATTCCGGAAAAGCAGCCACTTTTCCGGAATAACTTGCCAGCTGTCTACACTGGCCGCTTGCTTTTCCGGAAAAGCAGTGACGAGCTACTGTAAAATTGTCAGTGTTTTTCCTGAAAAACTATGCTGCTCCCGTTCGGGCAAAAGTCCTTTTCTGGAAAAACTGTTCCGGAAAAGGGCCAGTGTAGACAGCACAGTAGTCTTTTCCGCAAAAAAGCCCCGATCGCGAAAATGACAATCGGGGTTTTTTTCCGGAAAACCGCGTCTACATTGGCCACAGTCGCTTTTCCGGAAAAAGTGCTTTTCCGGAAAAGCATCCTGCCAATGTAGACGCGCTTTTTCCGGAAATACTTATAACGGAAAACTGTTCCGTTTTAAGCATTTCCGGAAAAGGGTGCCAGTGTAGACATAGCCCACATGTTGGAGTCCTTTGACTGGGTAGTTTTAGTGCTGAAAGAGATGGACCCCCCTGCAGGAAAAGGGAAGTGGACACAGTTTAGATTCACACTAATACATTACCCTGCTGTGTAGGACCTAATCCTGCAAACAGTTACTGACTTGGGTATTCTCATCATTGCCGGCTCTCACCGGGGCAATTCACTTCATTCCTCAGGGTCAGCAAAAGCTCCTGCACCACTTAAGCTGTGCACCGGGGTTGGCCAGGGAGGCCCGCTGACAGATGGCTCCCCCCTCTCCCTGTAGTTTGAAAACCACTGCTCTAGAGGAATCCGTTGGGTTAAATATTAAAGAGCCCTATAAACCACCCCGGATTGATAGCGTGGATGGCTCTTGTGAGACCCTGGCCATTCTAGCCTTTACCCAATGACTCCTCACAGGCCTTTCGTCCTAACCCTAACTCTGACCATTCAGACCTTTAGCCAGGGGTTTCTCACCTTGCCTGCAACATCTCCCTTCTCAGTAGCTGCCTCTGAGGCCATTGCTCTGTGCTCTGGTGGGCCCAGAGTGCTGCTGCCCACCTCCTGGCCCGCAGGAAGACATGTGGCCGTACCCCTGGCTCACTCTCCATGGAGCGGCCTCCTACCCCTCTCACCTACCTGGGGCTCGATTCACTCAGTGTCAGACAGTCTGCCTGAGTCAGCGCCATTGTTGCACATATCTCCTGCAATCCCCGGTCCACTGTGGGTGTGTCTACGCGCAGGCCTGCCGACAGGAGGGGGTGTGTGCGCAAAGGAGGAATGTAATAGTACCATCAATTAACTGATAAGCAAAAGCGTATAGGTTAGTGCTATAGACTACATGCTTTTCCCTCCCTCCCACCCTGGCTAGTAAAGTTTTTAGCAGGCTGCCCAGCAGCTCTGCTCAGTCAATGTTCTTGCGCAAATACTCGCGGCCAGTGTAGACAGGCGGCAAGATTTTGCGCAAAAGTGGCTGCTTCTGCGCAAAGCCATACCAGTCTAGACGCAGCCTTAGAGTATGTCTCTAAAGTCGAATCAAGCTACGCAACTTGAGCTACGTCAATTGAGTAGCTGAAGTTGAAATAGTTTAATTCGACTTTTGGCGCTGACTACATTAGGGATGTAAACGACTAATCGATTACTCGATTATCCGATAAACAAAAGCTTATCGGATAGTCGACATATTAGTCGACTAGTCGCTCCTCCCCTTACTGCCTCTATCAGCAAGGTGGAGGGGAAAGAAAGGGTGCTGGGGGAAGTCAGTTTCCCCCAGCTCCCTGGGACAGGGCAAGGGCGCAGCAGCGGCACTTCCTCCCCAGCTGGGACTCTTATACATTTCAAAGATTGAAACACCGCATGGCACCCATGGTCAGCAGGGGGACTCAGAATCCCCTGCTAGCCCCAAGGCCAGCGGGGGACTCTAAGTGCCAGAAGTGCCCTTCCCTAGAGAGCTCTGGGATAAAAAGGCAGCATCACAGAGATACAGTACCAGTAAGGCAGAGAAGTAATAACTAATCGCCACGCAGGTGGTGTTTCTATACAGTAGATACAGGAAAGATGGGCCCAGTATCTGCATGGAAGAAGGCTCTTGCACTAGCGGGATTATGTTCACTCCTGTGGAGACTAGAGTGTCAGAATGAGACCTAGAAATCATCCTGTTTGAGTGGGATGTATGTGGTGCCTTGGCCTCTGAGCAGGGCTGAGTTTTTCCTGCTGGGCCTAGGTCTTAAGAAAGGACAGAGAGGAATAGGGGAAGCTGAGGTACTGCTGGGAGTAGGGAAGGTGTAAAAAGAGGGAAGCTCTATGGAGAGTGTCTAAAAAAGGGGTTTTCAGCTGGACCCTGAAGCGAATGCAGAGAAATGGAAGGGGCATCAGATCATTTAGCCTGACCTACATGATACCACAGTCCTTCCACACCTGCACACACACTCCGGCAACTGCAATTAGACCAACGTGTAACACCCCTAAGGGGATGCAGCTATTTTATTCCCTAAGCAAAGAAGCAGAGGGGCTAGGATGTGACAATCCTCAAGGCCCCAGCAGTGTGAGTGAGCTATACCCCAATGAGGAGAGGTGCTGTCTGTTCCTGCTGTATGTTGCCTGGTAATTGGTACCCCGCTGTTGGCAGCTTTCAGTGCCAGGGGAGTTGTTCCAAAGGAAAAAGCTGATTTGTGGTGTCTTAATAAAAAAGGAAGCTCGGCTCCTTTATGAGGTTCCAGTGGCAAATTTCAGTTTAAGCCACAGTTTGTGGCAAGGCCAGTAAAATCGACTGTAACGTGTCAGGCTGGTCTCTGCTGAGACACGGTGCAATGTGCAAAGAGAGTATTTAATGTTCTTTGGAAACGGCTTTAAAAAGATCCCTGGTTTACGACAGCGCTGTTGTCTAACAACAGCTTTACTGTTGTCCTGCCATCACAGCACACAGACATATAGAGGCAGGATTGTTCAGTGGTTAGAGCGCTAGTTGTAGACTTAGGAGACCCAGGCTCAATTCGTTGCTACATCACAATCTTTCTGTATGACCTTGGTTTCTGTTGTTATATATATAACAGCACGAGAACTACCTGTCAATTGTAGGACTCGTGTAAATGAGGCTAATTAAGTGGGCTGGATGTGTCCCACACATAGCTTTTAATGTGGAAATGCAGATGTTAAAGGGAGGAGAAATTGGCTTTGCAATGCACCAACCAGTTAATGGCTTTGTTCAAGTGCAGGGTAATGGTGTCAAATCTGTAGATGAACTGCAGTTCTGCAGACTCTCTTTGTAATTGGTTAGTGAAATTCCTTTGTAGAAGAATGGCTACTTTTAAATCCTGGATTGAATGACCAGGCAGGTTAAAATGTTCCCCTACAGTTTGTGTTACCATCCCAGATGTCTGATTTGTGTACATTTATCCTTTGTCACAGAGACTGTCCAGTAAAGCCATTTTCTGTCCCTTTAACATCTGCATTTCCACATCAAAAGCTATGTACAGGACACATCCAGCCCACTTAATTAGCCTCATTAACACAGGTTCTACACTTGACAGATACTTCTTCTGCTGTTATATATAGCTCTTGGTTTCTGTTATTTCCATTCCAGTTCATCTGACGAGGTGGGGTTTACCCATGAAAGCTCATGATACTATATATTTTGATTAGTCTCTAAGGTGCCTCAGGACTACCCATTGCTTTTAAAGTTACAGACTAACAGGGCTACCCCTCTAAGATATAAATACACTGAAGACTGTGGGTGCTTTGTGTGTGTGAGTGTGTGTGTGTATGAGAGAGAGATTGAGATTGAGATTCATGAATGGAGGAGTGTGTGTCATACAAAACCAAAACGGTTAATTCACAGATTCCATCTTTCCTGGGGAAGGTAAGGACAGCGCTGTGGCCCGTGGGTGGGATTTTCCGACAGACAGGAGTCAGTGGCACATCTCCTCCTGTGTTTGCTGGGAGCAGAGCTGGGCCAGTGCTACATGCTCTTGAAGATCCCAGCTCACTGGAGTGAAAAAGGAACAAGCTGCAGTTCATGCGACTGGAGTTCATGCGCGGGAAAGCCAGACGGGACCATTCTGGTCCTCTCGCCTGCCCTCCAAGGAAACGCAGGCCAGAGGATGTCACACAGTGATCCCTGTCACACAGCGATCCCCATCACTTCTGTTTGAGCCAGAGCAAAACTTCTAAAGAGAAGTTTAGTCTTAGTTTTAAGACTCCAAGTAAAGAAGATTCTACCCCATCCCTAAGTAAATAGTTCCAGTGGTTCATTGGAACTGTTAACAGTTTGCCCCTTGTGTCTCATCTAAACATATCTAGCTTCAGCATTGGACCCTAACACGCTTTCTAGAAATCTCTCTCCTATGTCGGTGCTCGGAGACTGTGGTCAAGTCACCCGTGACCTTCTTGTGGGTTCTGATAAACCATGAAATGCAAAAACTGAATGTCTTGGGCTAGCTACTCGGCTGGGGCAAAGTGACATTGCTGTATTGGAGGATGCTGATCTCCTCCAGCGGTGGATCTGACATCTAACCTCTTCATTTTGCTTATAAAGACTCTGTCTCTGAGACGTGCTACAAAGCCAGGGTTCGCCTTGAGATTGAGCACAGAACAGATTCAAAGCTGTGCCCTGTACATTGTCCGAGATACTGACGAATGCATAGTGATCATGTGGAATCCTGGAATCCTTAAGCCAAATCCTTGCTGGCACTTATTGGCATAATTGCACTTTTCAGCCATGACTCTCAAGCCATTTACAAAGCTGTGTATGTTTCTTTATCCACATTTTACAGATAGGAAAATAGAGGCTGAAGTCGTGACTTACGTAAGGTTACACTGCGAGGTGTTAACAAAACTCGAAATAGATCCCATTTCTCCTGACTCCCCGTATTGTTCTGTGACCACTGGAGCATGTTGGATATTTTAAAAACAGTTGGAGAATTTTGTGGTCTCTAATGGAACTCGTAGTTATGCCTGTCATTTAAGATAGATCATGCTGCATGTTTCAAGGAGCATGCTGAGTATCTGGGGCATTGAGACATGAACCTTTTCTTATTGTTGGTTTTAGCAGATGGGCTGGGAGGCGATTATAATTCTTTTAAATCTCAGATATTGGTAACTTCAGGAAGCAGGGTTCAGCTTTGGGGGCCTGATGGCCGTATCCATTAACTGGATTCCTTTCCATAATAACTAGCAACTGGTGAAGCTCAAATGGGTTGTGACTTTGCCAAACATCCTTTGATTTCTTACGGATCAGGCCAGATTCTGCTCTGACTTACACCTGTTTTTGCCAAAACTACTTTTGCAGCAATTAAAGGGGAAGATCCTTGTGAAGGGAAAGAAGTTGAACAAGCTGGAGGACACCATAGGGACGAATAGGAACAGTGGCATAGAGGCTGAAGATGTCTCCGATGAGGATGAAGCAGCTGAAATGGAAGATGAGTTTGTGAAGAAGGAGGTAGAGCAGAAGAGGACAGTAAGTCAAAGCTCTGGTCAAATCATAAAGGGGGGAAAATTATGTGGAGCGGGAAAGGCCATAAGCTAGATGCCTGGCAGTTCTGGCATCCACCGTAGGGCGGTGAAAACTAGACCCTTCTATATGGAGCGTTGAACGTGGTGTAGGTCCAACAAACCCACTTTCTAATATGGAACCAGGTCCTCAACTGGTATGAATTAGTCTTGCTCCAATGAAGCTCTGCTGATGTACACCAAGGGGCATGGTTTGATCTGTTCATGCTAGGCAGGACCAAACTTGAAGAATCTTGGTCCTTCCCTAGACTTGAGCACAGCTTTTGAAAGCTCTGCTCTTAGACACATGTACATTATTTATTGAAGCATCCAGGAACAGAACTTGGCCCTTTGTTTTAGACCATTGATCTCTCCAGGTACGTCTACCCTGCACGCTTATTTTGAAATAGCTCTTTCGGAATAGGCGTTATTTCTTGTAGAATGAAGTTTATAGATTTCAGAATAAGCCGCCCATTGTTTTGAAATTATTTTGAAATAATGGAATGACTGTGTAAACGCTCGCATTCTTATTTCAGAATAACGGTACAGTGTAGATGCACCCTCCCAGACTCTGGGTGGATGTGAATGTCCCTATGCACCATGGACCAGATTCATTATGGGTGTAAAACATCGATGAACACCTGCTTTGGATTTGGTCCATCATAGTACATGTTTACCCTAGTTTCCAAAGGTTGAAGCATCAGGCAGATCTGAGATAAAAAGAATCAGGACCCCAGACATTCTTATATAGTTCCAGGCCTTCCTTGAATGCTTGGAGTCCTTAGAGGAACAACAGGCAATTACAGACATTTTGAAATAGGCCTGTTTTCTAAGCATCACTGGTAATTAGCTATACAGATTAACATAAGGCAGTAGTCTGTTTTTCACCACTCTCAGGAGATTTGTTGTACATTTCAAAGAGAGATGCATACAGTGATATTATTATGTTTATGTCTAGCTATAGTGACAGATAGGCACTGTCTGTTTACATGGCTAACATCTAACACACATACAATAAGTATCACTTCCAGTTCTCTAACAATCCAGGCCCTAATGGCCCTAATTACTGTTCACACACTTTTCTAACCTGTCTGTACAGGGTGATTCTGGGTCATTTAGCCTGCAGGGCGCATCACCTTTTTCTGGCCATGTGTCACACTTGGTATAAGACTCATTGCAATGATGTCACCATATGCAAATCATTGTTGCTACCGTTTACATTCTAGAACTCCACAGTCACATGACAAAATCAGAACCCATCTGTCTTGCAATGAAGATCTCCATGCTCTTTGGAGCCAGAAACCTTGCCCCCTCTGTTCCCTTAGTCCCAGCCAGGCAGAAGACCCCAAGACAATGAATTTCTAAGACTCAATTGAAAAGTCTGAGGGCTGGAGCCGAAGGCTGTGGAGCCCAAATGTGTTTGGCTCTGTGCCGCAGAAAGCCGTGCATAGGACGTTCCACCTGCACAATGGGGCAGTCCATCATGCTGTGACACCAGGCAGTAATGGGAGTTGGCTGGCGAAGCAGCTGCTGCATGAAACCCAGTTTAGAGCTCACATGCACAGCCCAGAGCTTTCCCAGAGCTCCTGCACTTGCAGCCTGTGAGCCAGAGCTGGGGAACAGCATGCAAATGGGTGCACTGCCAATCCCTCGGCCATGCCGAGGCTTTTCTTAACTGGAGTACGACTTACCTCGACCAAAAGTGCAACTGGGAATCTGCCAGTGAATGTGCTCAGCATCCAAAGCAACCTGTCCTGAGAGAGGAGGGGAAGCTGGGTACAGCCCAGCTGCAGGAAAAGTTCTGGGGGTTAAAAACTGAGGGATTGATCCACCAGCGAAGGAGTCAGGAGTGAGGGGTGGGTATCATGCACAGTTGTGAAGGGGCATGTGGAAGAAAGGCCAAACCTGTTGCTTTCTTGTCTCCAGACTGCCACATTAAAGCTGGCCAAGGAGTTATCGGACATCGTCATCTACTGCAAGAGTGTCCACTTCCATGGCTTTGACAGCATCACCTCTCCCCGCCCCTTCTATGAGATGTCGTCCTTCACCGAGAGCAAAGCTCAGAAACTGGCGCAGGAGTTTGGTACGTGCCTCCGACCTTCTCAGCAGGGTTTGCTAGTCCCCTCCTTGTCAACCCCTCCCCCCACCCATCTGGGAACCCACGCATTCGGTGCTCGCTTCATTCTCCAGTGTTTCCATGCGAAGATTCACTTTTAAAGGAAGAGGTGCAGAAATGGAGAGCCTTCTCCTACAGTAGCAGTAGCACCATAGAGCCTAAGAACAATGCAGCACTGTCTTTTTAAATATAAATTGAACTTTTCCTGCCTTCCCGGCATTAAATATTTGTGCTGCTTTTCAGGATACCCCCTGCATCTCTTGATCTTTTCAAGTTCATAACTGCTACCTTGAGATATTTTAGCTGTAGCCTTTTACACTCCTTAATCATGATAGTAAAAATCTTAAATAGCTATTGTAAGGTACTGAATTTTGTGTGTGTGTGCAACGTATGCACTACCATGGACAGAATTATTTCAGCTATGTCTCACGACTTGATTTCATAGGCTCTATAGTGCATACATCCACAGAGCGTCCCACCTAGTTGAAGCCGCATGGGCACAGATTTATTATGATGTCTTCTTGTACTGGACTGTAGAACTTCCTGCTCAGTTAATATCTCTTTAGCACTTCATGGGAGCAGAAATGTTGTCTTTATGGCACATGGTGTTCAAGCTGTTTTAAATGGAGGCATAGGCCACACAGTCTGTTTCTTTTGCCTGATTGGATGAGTTTAACTCTCAGAATCAAGTTTCTTGTGTGGAGAGTTTCTCTTTGAACTTGTCTCCTGTGAATGTTCCCTGTTTCAATATTCCTGCCAGGAAACTCATCTGCTGTAGTATTCAAGGCAGAACCACCTCACTGAAAAATCCAAATACTCACTCTGCTCTAGCTCCCAGCAGTGGTGACTCGGATGGGAACTGTATACAAAGTGATGGCAGATTTGGGTGAGGGTTCAAATTACATATTGAATGAGCATCCACTCTGGTGTGATCACCACCATATTGGTGATAAAACGTGGATGAAGAGTCAGCTAAAATATTTGTTCTCTTTGGCTGTGCATGATGTTATTAACACACGTTCCCAAGCCCACAGCTTTGGCCAGTCAGAACTGTTGTGTGCTTGCCTCAGTTTGCGTTTAAGCAGTAAATTGGATCATCAAATAGGGAGGGACAGCAAAGGATGTTTAAACAGGTGAAAAAACCAAGCAGGGAATATTCTTCTACATATGCTCTTTGTGTCCTGGGTCCCAGCTGGCAATGTTTTTAAAGCAAGGGACTGAAACTAAAAAGAAGGGACAAACACTGCAAAGCACTCCTCTCTCCTTCTCCCTTCCCCCTCCCAATTCCATTCCCATTTGCTGCCTTCTCCCCTCCCAATTCCATTCCCATTTGCTGCACCTGAAAAGACAAAGGAGGCAGCTGTGGGAAGGGTGCTGAGCTACAGTTTGTCAATACTGCTGCTGGAAGCATGTGGTGACTGGTGAGAGCTTTGCTTTGAATCCCATGGAGTTTAAGTTAGGCACCAGTAAATGTTTTATCTTTATTTTCTTTGTAGCCATGACATGGATGCCTCATTACTTGCACTCAGAAACTCTCTTTTTGTTGTTAATGGTTTATCTAATCCAGTGTGCTCAAGCTGGACATCGAGGTACATTCATTTGGAGTAAAAAATTAAGTGTCTATAAAGGTGCAATGGACCCAGAATGTACGTGCAGTACTGGTAAGGGCTGGGCAGTAGAGAACATACATTTTTGGGGGGAAATCCAGGAGGGGGGTGATGTTGGAATCACCCTGCCATATAATCAGGCTGGTAAGAGCCAGTGAGCGACTGACATAATGGACCCTGTCCGAATTGGAGGCTACAGCAGCAAGGTGGAGTAAAGGGAACTCCAGGTTACAGGGTGTGGGCTTATGGAGTCTGGTGTGTACCCTGGTGTATCACAAGTGTAATGCGCAAAGTTAAAACACAGGCTAGGATGACCAGTGGAGGAGCTGCATAGCATTAAAAAGAAATCGAAACAATACAAATCACTCAAAAGCAACTTTGTGTCTGTTTCTCTAGGAACCAGTTTTATTCATTACAACATGAGGCATTTGAGTCGGATCTATCCTGCTGGCTGGAGGACGGATTCTTCCAACTACAGTCCAGTTGACTTGTGGAACGTTGGTTGTCAGATCGGTAAGTGCAATTGAAAGCCACTGGGTTGCAAATCAGACCCTGATGTTAGTATGTTGTTAGTATTTAACTGACCTGTGTATGGCCTCTGTCCCTGGAGAGAGGCTAAGCACCGAATGGGCATGGAGGCAGATCAGCCTGCTCGCCCAGATTAATATCTGCCATGAGTTGTTTGTTGTCTGTGAGATTGTGGCCTCTTGTTATTCATGTTTAACAAATGTGGGAACTGAGAGACAGGCAATGCTCGCCCAAGGCCAGACTGAAAACTGTGGCTAGCCAAAAATGAATTTAGACCTCCTGCATCCCAGGGCTATGCGGGAACTATAAAGGGTCCACACATCCTCATTTTCTGTAGCTGCTTCCTGTATTCTGAGTGTAACATATGCAACATAATTGTGTGTTCTATGAGATCAACATTTCTCAATGAGTGGTCTACAGTCTGGCATGAGTTTCTAAGATCTCCTTGACATGCTTTAGGAAGCCAGCCAACCAGTCCCTGGTATCAAATAGGTTGGGAAATGCGCTAGAAGGCATCAAGGTCTATAGTAGTGGAGCACTAAAGTACGGCAGAATAAGGTGCTTCAGCAGGTGAATAAGCAAAGCAATGATTTAGCTCACTGTCTGTGCCTTACATCTGTTACAGCTGGACCAAGAACTTGCCAGCTAACACAAAATAACAATCTTTTAAAATTCCCAGAACGCTGAAACTTTGAGGAGATAGGACTGTTTCAGAAACGTACTGCGAAAAAAGGGATCCGTGAAGCTACTATGAAATACTCATGGTCCAGTAGTTACAGAATACAACTGAGAGTCTGGCATTCTGGGTTCTGTTCTTGACAGCTGCTGTGACTGTGGAGAATTCACTGAGATCAACACTGAAATTTGAGTGTTGAAAATTAGGCACCTACATCCGTATTTGGGTACCTGAGGAAGTGGGCAAGATTTTCAGAAATGCTGGGCCTCCACATCTCTCTCTGGAATCGTTTTGCATGTATTTGTGGCTTATTTATTGGTTGGAAAAAAATAGAGGCATGAATAAGTGGATCATTTTTTGTATTTAACTTTTGTAGGGCACTTAGGTCATGGTGGAAAACCAATTGAACATGTGGTGGAAAGGAGGGTTAACACAATCCTCTGTTGTTTAAGCAAAGGAATATTGAGTGGGAGTAGGGGAGTGATGTTACCTCTGTATACAGCACTTGTGAGACCACTAACTCGATACAGTGTCCAGTTCTGGGGTACACACTTCAGAAAAGGTGTTGATACCCTGGCAAGGGGCTCAGAAAAGAGCTACAGCAATGATTTGAGGTATGGAAAACAGGCTGCATAGTGAGAGAGTAAAGAAGTTCAGTCTCTTTAGTTTAGCTAAGAGCATGTTGAGAGGTGATTTGATCAGGCTGAGGCTCTGATCCCCAAAGGTACATAGTTGTCTAAATGATTGAAGATTTGGATCTAAGTACGTCCTTCATGGAGATTTCAAAAATAGAGAGCTTCTGGATCTAGCAAAGGCCTAACAATTTCCAATGGCTGAAAATTCAAGCTGGATGGATTCAGACTGGAATCATAGAATCACAGAATTCTAACTGGAAGGGACCTCGAGAGGCAGATCCTCAGAGCAGGATCGAGAAAAGTTGTTTGTCATGAGGTTAATTAGTCATTGAAACAACTTATCTAGGGTTCTTCTGCACTTGAAGTCTTTTAACCACTATTGAATGTCTTTTCTAAAAGTTACACTCCATTTCAACCTGTTGTTATAGTCTCAGTTAAGGAAAAACAGGGTGAAATTCTCTGGCCTGTGTAATACAGGTAAGGCAAGGTGGTCAGGATGGTCCTTTTTAGTTTAAAATCTGAAATTCTTAGGTGAAAAGTGCTGTAGAAAGCACAGTTTATTACTAGTGTGCTGCAGATCACAAAGGCAAAACTTTATATGCATGAAGGCAGTTGTATTGCATGAAAAAAATCAGTGTAAAACCACCTGTGTGGGCTTATAAGAAAGTTAATTTAATTTTATTTTTTTGTTCCAGTTGCCTTGAATTTCCAGACGCCAGGCCCAGAAATGGATGTTTACCAAGGCCGATTCCAGGACAATGGATTTTCTGGGTATGTCCTAAAGCCAGACTTTCTTCGGGACAAGCAATCCAAATTCAATCCAAAATCCATCACAGAAGGAGCCTGGTGGACACGGAAAAAACTCCAGATAAAAGTAAGAATTGGAATAAGAAAACTGTAACAGCAATGCCAACTTCATGTGCTTCTAGAGATCTAAATTCTGCCACCTCTGCCCACACTGAAAAGTACCTTCATGTCCCGATTCACCAATACTGAAACACCTCCATAAATCCAGATCTAGTCATCCCAGTAGTTAACCAGATGCATGAGTCCCAGGGACCAGCCTGAATTGGGACATCTGCGAGAATTCCTTTAAAAGTCAAAGGGACTACTTACAAAGTAAGGCCCCAGTCCAGCAATGACTCACGCATGTGCTTAACTTAATGTACAAGGTAGTCAAGGGGATTATTCGGTGTTTCTAAAGTGAAGGTGACGTGTCCTACCATGGGACTATAAGCTCTTTGGGGCAGGGACTGACTTGCTGGGCTGTGTTTGAACAGTACCTAGCACAGTGAGATCCCGTTCCACGACTGCAGCTGCTAAGATTACTGCAATTTAAATAATAAATGATGGTGATGAGGATAATCAGTGGAGATGAATGAAGTGGAGATGAATGTAGGAGATGCTCACAGAAAGCACTTTCTTTTCATGACTTCACCACCTTGGTTGAGTACAAAATATGTGACGAGTAAAGGGTGATCAAGGCTCATATGCTATGCTGTATTGTTATGGTTGCAAGCATTTATTTGGTAAACGCCCTTCAGTATTAGTTCAGGATATAAATAGCTCATCAGCAGTGATTCCTCTAAGCTATGCACTTGGGCAGCCATCCAGAAGCGATTCAGATGCCAGCCAGCTGATTAGCAGAGCGCCCACAGCCAGCAGCGTGTGTGGTGGTGCACATCTACACATGCCTCTGTGCACTTAACAAAATTTTACTCTGCATGTGAATGGAAAAAATTAGAGGGAACTTTGCTCATCAGCAGGGCTCCATAAGGAATTCCTTCTCCCTGCCCCTCGCCATGCCTGGGGAAGCATCACGCAGTTGACTGAGAAATTGTGGCCCTTTCCCTGAAGCATCAGGGGCTGGCGTCAGGATCCAGGTTTTGAGAGAACCGCGGCCAGACGCACCATTGCCTTGAGAAAAGAGATGTCTGTTTTGCAACTCAGCTCTCCTCCTGATGGTGTGATCTGTCCCCTCTGCTTCCTCTGCAGATCATCTCCGGCCAGCAGCTGCCCAAGGTGAACAAAAGCAAAAACTCTATCGTGGATCCGAGGGTGACAGTCGAGATCCATGGGGTCCAGCGGGACAATGGCAAAAAACAAACCAAAGTCATTGAAAACAACGGTAAGAGGGATTTCTGCTTTATAGCTCTGCTTGACGCTGCACCAGAGTGTCCCCAGGCCATGCTGGCGTGGTTCCATGCGATATGCAAGTCAGTTAGTGTAAGTCACATCCCAGCCTGCTTTCCTGTGGTGACACCCATCAAAGGCTAAACGCCACCTCCCCTAACTCACCCTCATGTCCCACTGGCAGGTGTCACAGCTCGCGACAGAGCAGCAGATAACTGATCTGGGACTGCTGTCATGTTCCCCTAAGCTCTTGGCTTTGGTCAGTGGGCCAGATCCTGGGCTCCCTGACGCTGGTACAAATCCAAAGTAATTCCATGGATTCATTTTTCTTGAGCTCAGGTATCAGTAGCTTTTCAGAAGGAAAGAAATTCCCTCTGGAGGGCTTGGCATGTCCTTTGGAGCCAGCTCTCAAACCTTGAAAATGTTCCTGCCCTGTCCCATCAAAGTGCGTACCTATCCTGTGGATAAATACAAACTGACACCTTTCACCCGTGCTAAACTCACACATTGTACCTATCCTGTGGATAAATACCGGGCTTAATTCCCCAGAGAAGCCAAACTGACACCTTTCACCCGTGCTAAACTCACACATCCTAGGTGTCCAGGAGGAAGGATGAAAGGCCTTGGGTTACAGACTGTGACTTTGGAGATCTGGGTTCAATTGATGCTCTGTCACACACTTCCTCTGTGACCTTGGGTGACTCACTTATTCTCCCCACATGCAATTGTCCATCAGCAAAATGGAAACAATAATACTTCTCTCTTGACAGGCTGTTCTGAGGATTGCTCATTAGTGCCGATCAGATCCTTATAAAAACCTGAAATGGAAAATAACTTGAATTCCTCTCCTTCGAGATGGCTCATTAGTGCCAATCAGATCCATATAAAAACCTGAAATGGAAAATAACTTGAATTCCTCTCCTTCGAGACTGATCTGGGCAGAACACAGCTGACAAATGAACATACACATTCTTCAGAGACAGGGAAATAAGCTGCCCCCAACACACACACGCTACATGAGGGTATGCAATCAACAATCAATGCCAAGGGTGTCTCAACCCCGAGTACGTTTTCTGCAGGGCTAGCAGTGTTTCCCTTTCCCTCCATCCTGTTTTAGACCATAGCTAGTAAAATCGTGGCCCCGCTCCAAACATTTCTGTCTGTTTCCTTTTGTTCGCATGTCTGTGGGTTTAGAACCATGTTGGTAACCTCCTCACTTAATTCTGAACTGAGCATAAAAAAAAATCACAAGTTCTGGATCTACAGAGCTGCTGCGTATCCCAGCTCCCACTCACTTCAGGGAGTTTACTGGCAGGGGTATTTATGAAATGGGATAGGAATTCCAAATGTGCAATTCTCACTCTTTGGGCTGGAAACCTGATAGGAGCGCCATTCATCAAGGGCTCTATACTGCATGGTCTTGAGGTCCAGATCTTCAAAGGTATTTGGGCATCTAACCCACAGGAGCATGTCTCTCCTTGCCGGGACACGTCCTCTCTCAGGGAGCATATTCCGTTGGAGCTGGGACTGCTCAGGATTTCTGAGTATTAGGCTATTACCATAGAGGGGGCCTTAAAATACAGTATTGAGCCATTGCTTTGCACAAGAAAATCCCCCAGTGACAAGAGGAGCTAAGCCTGTCCGGTCTGGAACAGTCAGTAACTATCTCGACTTCCTACAAAATCTGAATGGACTGAATGCTGTAGATTAGATGTTGATTGTTAGGGCTGCTCTGTCTTGCGACATCAAGGAAACTGCTGTCCGTAAACAAGCTACGAGGATATTTATATTGAAACCTGTCATTATAATGCCCAGTGAAAACATTTCAGGGCGTGGTTCCTAGCTCAAAGGGTTGTGGAGCCAGGTAGAGCTCTCTGGAGCAGACACATCACATCCGTCACTATTCCTCCTCCTCCTCCCACCCAGGAAAGAGATGCTTTACATGTCCATGTGGACGGTGGTGTGAAATGAGGGCTTCCTTATGAGTTCATATGGGAGTCATGCGCTTAGTACTTAGTTGAGAGTCCATAAAAAGTGAGACTCCTGTCTCTGCAGAACTCCCAGAGTGTGCCACTTTATTTACATGCATGTCAGCTCACCGTTTTGCTGCAAATCTTGCAACCTTGCCGGGTTTTCTGCATGATCCCAGCCCTTGCTGTGATGTGATCACGGGAGTCTCTCGTCTTGACGGTCATGAATAACGAGTAAGCTTCCGAGCCCTTGGAGTTGCAACCCAAAGCTTCACGAGGTGACCCGAGGGTGCCCTAATGTGCTCAAACCAAAAAGCAAAGAAAAAGCACCTCCGCTTTATTAGTCTTAAAAACTCTCAGGGTTTTTAATCCAAACGTCGGTCTTTTTGAATCCCAGCTCATGCTTTTTCTATGGTTTGTGTTACTTAAAAGGACCAGTTGGTCTTTGTCTTCTGAGCCTCGGGCTGAAAATGGACTAACCACAAATGTGCTCCCGGTGAATAGGATCCCTAGCAAACCATTATGTCTCTGCGGCTGACAGGACAATTGGGGGCCCAGTCCTGCAGTGCTCTCAGCTCCTGAAGCCTTCATTGGATGCTCAGGGCATGCAGGGCCCTGCAGGGGTGTGTGCATTGTTGGCTTTGCTAGAGCAGGCCTCCCCCAGCGCCACTGTCCTCTGAACCACTTGTAACCAAAAGGGTGAGCGAGAGAGCATGTGGCTTCTGTTGTGAAGTGGAGGTCGCTTGTGGCTGCCTCTTATCTGATTGGTTTATTTATTGCCTTGTCAGATGCTTAGCTTTGATTTTGTGGGTTTTTTTTATCATCACCAGCGGAAAGGAGGCTGAACCAAGCCCCAGACCTGAACATCCTTAGATCCAATCAGCACCCAAATCTAGGATTTGGGTTCTGGCCTCTGCTGCATTGGCAGGATGAATGAAGGTCAGAAAGATGAGAGCTTTGCTCCATAGTAGCATCCAAAATTCAGTACTAGTTAGGCTATGTCTACACTGGGACGGTTTGGCAACAAAAGTGCTGACAACATGCAAACGTTGCCAAAAGTAAAAACTGGTCAAACCAGTTTTTCTGCCTCCCATTGTCAACATTTCTTGGTCACATGGCCAGCACTCTGTCAAAAGACAGAGCAAAGGAATGTGGGTGAACATCCCACAGTGCAGTGGTGCGGGAAGGCAAAGCTGGTCTCTGCACTTCTTGGGATGCCTGTTGTGTCAAAGCAACTCAGCAGTCTCTCCAGCACTCCCCCTAAAGCAGCAGTCTGCCTGCTGCTGTTTTCCTAATGCAGGGCAGAACAGAAGCATTCTAATAATTTGTTCTTTTAACGGAGCAGCTCATTCATCTTTGAAAGGGGAGGGGCACATGCCTGCAGGGCAGCAGAGATCACAAAACACTGAGCACAGCCAGCAAGGCATGCATTGTGGGATACTGGCAGAAGCCAGTTCTCTGGATAGAACAAACAGCAGAGTCCCCACTGGCTCTTTGTTGACAATAAAGGGAGAGCAAAAGACAAAAATCTCTCATGGGGTGGAAGGTTTTTGTTGCCAAAACTGGGTGGTTTTCCCGACAAAAGTCACATTGCGGTGTAAATGCTCTCACTGTTTTGTTGCTAGTGTAGACAAGTCCTCAGTCATAGAACCATAGGCCTGGAAGGGACCTCGAGAGGTCATCTAGTCCAGGCCCTTGGCCTCACGGCAGGATTAAGTACTGTCTAGATCATATTATCTACTTCAGCCAGAAATCGCCAAGTGCTTTACACAGGCATCAGTATCACCTTGTTACAGAGGTGGAAAGTGAGACCCAGAGTGGTTGAAGGCTGGATTGTGCCTTTGGCATGGCCCTGTGGCAGGGTACAATTCCCTTTCTGCTTCCCTCTAGTTTTCGGGGTATAGCAGTGTGCTTGTGACCCAAACCAGCAGCACATTCAGACCCTCCCCCCACCCACTCAGTTGTGCTGCTCAGTGCTTTATGGGTGGAGCCAAAGCTACTCACCACCCACTTGCTCCTGGGTCTGGGCAGCCAAGGTCTGCGTAGTGCACTCAGCAGTGTTCATAGTGCCTCTTACTCCACAGCACAGACATGTGGCCCAGGTCACAAGGGAGCTTAAGTGACATACTAAAGGTGAGACAGTGAGTCGGTGTCAGAGCTGGGAAGCCCCCCC